TGCACTTTAAGCGATGGAAATGTCATGGAAGCTGTTCAAAATGAAATTTTGTTTTGCAGAGTGTATGCAAAACGAATGACAATAAAAGTTGTCTAAGTCTAAAAGTTGTCTAAGTTTAAGACCTCTGCCCATTTCGTCCCTACCGCCAAGACCTACAGCATGCCACTGGGGCAGTTCGCAGCCGAGACTGAAGCAGCCAGGATGAGAATCAGCTCCTCCAAGTCCAAGTCCATGGTTTTCGACTGGAAAAAGGTAGCTTGTCCCCTTCATGTTGGAAGAGAGTTCCTGCCTCAAGTGGAGGGGTTTAAGTATCTTGGGGTCCTGTTCACAAGTGAGGGAAGAATGAAGCGGCAGACTGATAGAAGAATCGGTGCGGCTGCTGCTAAGATGCGTCTGTCATGGTGAAGAGAGACTTGAGCAAAAACCACACAGCTCTGGATTTACGGGTCGGTCTACATCCCTTACCGATGCACAGGAAAACTGGGTAATGGCCGTACTTTCTAAGGTTCTTCCTGAGAGATAGGGTGAGGAGCTCCATCATTCAAGGAGGCTCGGAGTAGAGCAGCTTCTCTTCCACGTCGAAATGAGTCAGCTGTGATGGCTTGGATATCTTCTTTGCATGCCTCCCTCAGGAGGTGTTCCAGGCACGACCCACCGGGAGGAGACCCAGTGGACGACAAGGACATGCTGGACTGACTATTTCTCTCAACAGGCCTGCAGTACCTCTGGCTTTCCCCAGCATAGCTGGAGGTGGTGTCTGCGGAAAGGGAGGTTTGGGAATCTCTACTTAAGACTGCTGCCCCATGATCCGGTTCCGCATGAAGTGGGAGAAAACCATTATGAGTACTGCAATAGTACATACACACCTTGACAGTCTTAAAGCTCATTCCCAATGATTTTACTATCTAAGCTTTATCGTAAGAAATTGCTGTAAATAAAAGTGGTGGCCCTTGACTTTAAAAGAAACGGGGTTGACTGTTTTAGCTACTAATTCATATCAAGAGCGAACAACCTATTATTTTGCCAATAAATAATATTCTGACTGCAATAAAAATGTTATTTGTCTTTTTATGTAAATTTTTTTTTTTGTGTAAAACTGTTGAGTTACATTTTTCTCTTCCACACATGATGTAGGCATGCTTATCTTAACATAGTTAGTGGTTCTAAGTGGTGTTTCCAATCATATTAAGAGCTCCAAAGTAGGGGCCAACCAGACGTCAAGCACCTGTGCCAGAAGGAATGGAAAGGCCTCGACTCCCTGGAGGGACCTCAGAATGATGGAGAAGCTGCTTGTGCCAAGACTCAACAGTGAGTTGAGATGAGAGATTAGTGCCAGAGCGGCACATCTACAGAGGCCTGGCCATTTCTCTGAGAGTTGAAAATTGGAAAAGGAAAACATGAGAAAAACTAAAGGAAATTGGGGTGACAAATTGGGCCTCAGAAAAAGCACGGCATTCTTGCCACAGTAGTTGCTGGCTAAAATGAAGCTTGAATCAGCAGTTTTATTCTAATCACTTTCCATTCTTTGCTCAGATTTAGATCATATGATGGAAATATAAACCATAAAATCCTCTTTCCTTGGAACAAACCAATTAGACTTGGTAATTCCCCGATTTCTAATCCGTGTAATTAAGGTTGATTTAGTTTTATTACTTGGTCCTTATTAAATAGTGTGTAGAGATGAGAAATGAGAATTAATCTTGTTTAAAATCTGCTAATGATTTACTGTTGGTTACTTTATCATATAAAGTGATCCTTTTTAATCAGAAATTCCTTCAATAGAACTTTACTTGAGGGCAAAAAGGGATTTTTACATCACTGTTCATTTAATGTTAATTTTAAATAAATTCTGAATACTGAGAAACAGAGACCAGGAAAATCATTCAGGGTGATAAAGATAATGTAGCTCACCGGGAAGGAAAATTATTCTCTTATCTTAATTCTGATAGATCTCAACAGTGATTTATGAAAAGTACATCTTCAAGCCGGTTAGATTTACCCACTGTCGTGGTTGAAGTCATTATTTTGTGCTGGCTGATGACACTATGAAAATAAAACATTGAAAACATTTCCATCGTTTTTAAATATCTTATCTGGCAGCATTTTGGATGATTAGAAGAAAAAAAGGAAATGGCAAGACATTTTCACACAAAATAAGATGCAATTAAAAAAGGACTGTAAGAAACAAGCATCAGGCTAACAGTTAGACGTCATTATACCAATTTAGTACATGCTTTGTAGCTTCCTATTGGTGCTTACCGGTAACTAAATGTAGGATAGATAGTTCTGTCCTTCAGTCTTGACAGAACCCCCACCCCCCCCCTTTAATATATATTTTAAAGAGAGTATATGTTTTCTTTGGGACTCCTATCTAAAATCACTCTATAATTCAAATGGATTGTTTATCTTCTAAGATGTAAAATTGATTTTTAGTTTTAACAGGATGCTCAGACAGCAGATTTTGTATTTGGCATCTGACCAAACCAGTCGTTGATGATGGGATGTGGACTCCTGCCAGAACAGAGTTGTTGCCTTCCAAAAAAACTACAAAACACAGAGAAGGACACACTTTCCTCAGCTTGATCTTTAACAAAGACTTGCATAACCCTACTTTTAGGAAATACTGACATTAGGTACTGGGAGAAAGGAGGTGAGGATTTTTCCCGAGAAGAAAATCACACTTAGAGGTGAAATGAATCACAGCCTTACAATAGGAATTAAAAGTGTTTAAGGGGGAAAAACAATGGAGCATTTATTCATTTTTAACTGCTAAAGCAAAGCTATCAAAAGCAAAGCTATAAAGCCTTTTGACTCAGAACTGTGTGAAAAGGAAATTACTGTAAGCATATTTTACTTTTTCATTAATGCAAGAATCTGTCATAAAATATATATGAAAAATCTGGAAATCTAAGGTTTGACATTCCAAGTACAAAAAAGGATATACTAGTGTGAGAGCTGCCTTTATCAGTGAAGATAAATAATTTAAAGTTTAGGAGTTTAAATCAACAAAAATCAGTGCTGATAAAAGTTTGACATAAGAGATGCTGGAAATTTACACCAGAAAACCTAAGAACTGCAAGTCCACATTTACCAACAAGTAGCCAATGGCAGTCCACCTCCTTTAGTGTCTGTAAACAGGTTGTAAAGCAAAATCTTGTTAGGAGAGTAAGCTGCCTCAAGGAAGAAGCCCAGGCATGAAAGAAGCATCCTTTTTTAGCAACCTTTACCCATTCCATTGAGGTCTGAAAATGTCTACAGCCATTGCACATCCCATTAAGTTGCAACATGAATCAGAGGTCTATGGAGCAATTCTTGTGCCAGCGGCAATCTCACTGTAGAGTAAGTTTGGCTGCAGCCTCCAGCAAGCATGGAGGCACTGAGGCAGAAAGCTTGTGCCGGCTTTATGACAGATTTGTTATATTTTTTAAATATTACTTATTAGGTAACAGACAACAGAGTATGCTCCTCTGTGTGTCTTAATTTAATGTTAAAATAAATCCTAATTTTGTTATTTTGGGGAAGACTTGAGAATAAAATAGAAAAGGTATCATGTCAGAATGGCAGACATGGAAGAAAATAGACTTTCTGACATCTTCATTTAGAAATTACATGAGTCACACACCGAAACCTGCTACAGGCTAAAGCTTATATATAGGTTTACACAAGGAAAGGCTGAGAGTACCATAGTAAATTACTGCTTAGCATATCTACAAAGGTTCTGTCCCAGGGTATATTTCTTTCTCCCACTCTTCCACCACGTGCTTCCAAGGGGAGCCCCTGTTGGGCTTTGTTACCAGGTGCAGCCTGAAGCTGTAGAAGCTTAGCTGTAATATGTTTCTCTGGGTTTATCTTTCTGATATCTGGGTTGTACTTTTTGAAAAACCATGAATCAAATTTATTACTATACAAAATCATTACTATTAAATACAAAATCATTACTATAAAACATTGTGCCTGTGCTGACCGTCCATTAATAAGGGGTGGACCTGTTTTCGGTTCAATTTGTGTGTTTTCTAAGCCATAACAAGACTTTTGTTAGGCAATTTTATAAAGCCTGGAGCTCAACGCTACCGCAGACATTTTGAATTGAGAAAGCTTCCTGGATGGAAAACAAACCATGTTCAAACTTGGAAAACAATGTCCAGTGGTTTGTTTTTAACTTTTTTTTTTCTGGAATGACTATGACCTGGATGACTGAGAATCTACACCAACATACTATAGAAGAAGCAGAAGTTAATTTGAGTTTGTGGGCTGCTAGATTTTTTGCAAAAGAAAAAAATATATATAGAATTTCGCATATAACCAGTGTCCTTACAATGTTGTGGGGTCTTTAGGCCTTTTGAGGTAGCTTAATAAGAGGGATTTAGCAACAAGTCAAGGAATCATAGGGCTTGGAAAAATCAATCAAATTTACATTTAAAACATAACTATCTTTCAAACCAATATTAAAGCTATATAGTTATATATATGGTTATATATAGTTATGAATAACCAAAAGAGCCTCTATTCAAAATGATAAATAATGTCAGAGTTTGTGTTTTCTGCCTGTATGCAAAAATATATACTCCAAACATTCATAAACAAAAAGGGACCACAAATGCATTTAACACCAACTAACAATGCGTTCCCTGCAAATATCTCAAGAAGATGACAAAATAGGCATAAAGTGATTCATAAAAAGCTCATCTTGAATGAAAAAATGCTAGCGCAATAACTTCTTATTTGTTTCATTTTCAGAGGTAACATAAACATCATTTTAGAAACAATCTGTGGAGAAATTCCCTGCTGACACTTCATTTACTCCCAATTTTCCTCCAGTATTTGGTATGAATTACGTACCCTTCACAAGGTCTCAGACTGTGAAACTTTCAACCTCAGTTTGCCGGATCATTTTTCATTTACCAACATGTGCAGCACAGCTGACAGCATCAGCCAAGGCCACTAACTGCATCTACTGTTGAGAGGCTGAGAGTGTTGAGGCTTGAAAAAGGAGAACTCACCTCTCTCAGTGTTTGGCACTCCTAAATTAATGGTTGGTATGGAAGCCTCGGCATGGTCGCTGTAGTACTCTAAAAATAAGGCATCCTTTTCCCAAGTCTTCTTTATCACTGGAACTGGAGCAAAGGGCAAGAAAAATCAATACAGTATTCACTAAATACTCTCTGGTCTCTGATTATGCAGAAAGTAGAGCTGACCTAATTATTATTTCATTTGAGATGAAAAGGAGGACAATCCTATATTTTTGTACTTATTAATTTAGAAATATCAAATGCCAGGAAAAAAAAAACATGTTATTTAGAAAGGATGCAAATACACAGTGTTGTTTGATTGGATATTAACTTTAAATCTTTTCATTACATTTGAAACCGATGTTTCTATATACATGTACAGCAAGATAAATGTTTGGGCTCCCTGTCTGATGTTATCTAAGGCTTAAAGGGTCTATATCAAGCAGAATCAGCTTATTGGAGCTTTTAGCTATGTTAAAAATCGTATTTCTTCAACAAAATCATGCCCATTTTGTTTGATTTATTCATTTCTGAGAAATCTCTAAATATTAGACCCTGTCTGAATGGAAAACAAGTGGCAATCACTGTTCTGCCTAGGACAGCGATCACCTGCCCCTCTAGGAAGCACCCACCTTGACCCCACTGTCACATAAATAAAGATCCACTTGAACTTTAAAAGTCTCTCTATCATACAGAGTCTGTCTTAACCATTCATCATGTTCTATACTTTAATAGCAAACGCTTCCTTTGGCTTCCTGTCCTCTATGGTATAATGGTGTTATTTACAATTTTAATATACAAAAAACTAACTCTTTCTATTTGTAATCAGCACATTATTTAAAAAACAAGTAAGTTTTAACTTGACTGGTTGAACTAAATAATTAATCAATTAGAACAACATGAAAATTGTAAAAAAAAAAAAAAAAAAAAAAAAAAATGAAATGTTAGCTCCAAAGTCCCAAATCATGATGTTCCAGTTGCTCAAATGGTCGATGCTTTACTCTACAGATTTTTTATTCAAGACAGTGTTCAATTTCATACATTTTACAAACAATAACCATTACATGTTTAGATAAACTGTAAGACAGACTAAATGAAATGCATGGAGGTATTGATATATTTCTCTGTATTTAATGGCAGAGAACATTGTCTCTTTACAAATGAAAATTTCACATTTAGTCCTACTGGGAGTGCCAGCTGGCAAAGGAGAGCAAGCATGACTCCTAAATGTTCTCATTCAATTGCTAAAACAATGACTGTTTCCTAAATTAATGAGGCAATAGACCGAAGACTACTTTAGCTGTTAATAACAACTGTCACATTCACTCTTAGGTAAAGTTTTAATTTTATAATATCCCCTGTACAGGCTTCTATTCTGAATAAAGAATGCACACAATAACAATAACATTCATTTTCAATCTAAGCTTATCTGTTTGGGCCAGAGCTTCATTTTAGAGTCTTTATTGACTGATCCAGGTATTATGATGCATCTGCAAGCCACCCAGCTTTATTACTTTTTGCAGCTTCACTGTGTTTTAGGATGTTTACTGTTGCTGCAGTAGATATTCCCCAAGTACGCTATATTGCTGCCTTCTGCAGGTAAAGAGGATGATGTTTATTTAAACCACATGAACTTGTAAATGAATTACAAAACATTTCCACGGTGTTTGCTTTGTACGTCTTAACTAATCTTTGTCATTATGTACCTAATCGTTTCCATTCTGCCAACATATGAACATAACAATAGCAGGTCAGGAGAGGAAACAGTAATTAAAACAATTAGAAAAATTACATTCCAGACACTCCTTTAAAATATCACACACAATTTGTCTGATCCCACTGTAATTAATTTGCCATTTGCTCGATTGACTTAACCTACTCCATTTTCATCAGGTTAAAAGAGCACAAGAGTAACTGTGAAAAGCTTAATAGTGGCCAGAGAGTGCCAATAAGAGTTACTGTTGGATGAGTGTGCTTTTCCAGCCTTGGGTGAAGCACAGCATTAAGTACTCCACACCGTTTTTTCTGTTGTTTTTTTAACTTCAGCACCAATAAATCCTTTCAGACATGATGGTAGAGTAATTTAGTGAAAGATTTTAGTATAATAAGAAAAGGCACTCATACAGTTCCACATGTCATCGGTAGAACAAATCCATTATCCAAACAGCGGGGCATAAATGTGCAATACTTGCAGGAAAATTAAGGGGCTTTCTTGACAGAGTAGAGACGTGACTCACCTCTTTCACTGTGAAACTTTCTGCAGGTTTTCACAGCAACAAATATGTCTTCTTTATTTACAGGCTTCCCCTACATAAGATTAAAAAAAGAGAAGCATAAAAAAAAGAAACAGAAGAAAAGCCCGTCATGTAGGAGGAACAATATAGAAAACATAATTTATTTCAGGTTTCAGTCAATCTTTAATGTCCAGGAAAAAGATCGATGGGCATAAATTTAATCTGGATGTTTTGTCAGATCCAATAAGGATCCTTTAAAATGCCTTATGTTTTTTTTTCTCTCTCTTTTAATTTAGAGAAACTCAAATGACTGCTGGTAGAGTTCACATGAGGACGTTTTTCAACAATTTAGTTCTCAAAGTAGGTTTAAAACATTCTATACTAATAATCGTGAAAGGCTATTATTTCCTTTATTAAAATTCCAATGAAAAAAATAAATCAAAAGAAATGTAAAGCATATTACTTTCTAAGACTCCATTCACAGAGGATTAAAAATGTATGATAAGTGTTATTTGTTTTTTGAAAGAGACCTTAAGGGGGAGGACTTTTAATGTTTTAGAGATGCCTTTTGGGTGCCACAAAAAGGCTGTGACCTGCCAAAAATGAGTAAAACAGTCCAAAAGTTCCCCAACTGGATTAAAAATGCACTAAAACTTTTTTGGTGAGACTGGGCTATTTCAGTTTTCAGAGGGAAACGCTGAACTATGGTGTGGAGGAGCCTGGTACAGTAGCAGCAGTGGCAGATTATCCATGCCATCCAACCCACACAGTTAAAAAAAAAAAAAATGAAGTGGTACTCTTCATGCTAGCTTGTTACCAGCTGCAACCTCATCACACCTACACCATGCTGGCGGCGCTCCAAGTAAATTATCGAAGTAGTGACTAGGTGGCTTTGTGCATCGAGTCATGCTGCTGCTCCGGCTGCAAACACAGCAATCTCACTAGGCCAACTAAAAACTGAGGGCGGATGTTCAGAGATATGAAAGGTATAAAAAAAAAAAAAA